GTTGTAATCATGTTTTTTACCAGAAATATAATAATAAGAAAATGCTCTGAAAAAATATACGAGTATAGGAATGGAGAAAAACTTTTAGTGGCTTAGGGATCGTCCAGAAAGTGCGGCCACTTTTCTTAAATTCATTTGGCAATTTATGGGAGCTCAGCGCCTGCGAAACTCAGGGTAGGCCACACCACAGTACATGCATGCACTGCAGGCAAGATGTTGCCTACCCGTCAGGCGCCATGAGAGCTTGCACGGGCTGGACGGCAGTTTCGGATTACGGCGAAGGACGAGGGTACTTTTTGGATGATCCCTGCCTAAAAACTATTTTTGTTTATCTTAGGGGGGCTTTTGAAAGGTTTAATATGAGATCCAGACCATCCCAGCCCAGGTCCACAACATACTTTTTTGCCTCTTTCGATCATACACCCTGGCATGTATACTGGAAACTGGTATGTTTTTATTATCTGAATATCGCAGCGGAACATATTGGTAATATCGACCATATAAGGCGACATGCGTTGTTCGAGCAAACACCATCGGTCTCCCAACGATTAAATCAGATGATTGCCGATTCCACTGGGAGCCGGCTCCTCTATATTTACAGCGATAGAGTGATTATGTAAGGCGATTATCCCAGAGGGCGTTCCGTCACGGCCCAGCCAATCAATCGAGCATCTTGTGGCAGGCCGTTTAGCATAGTGACATCAGCCGGCTTGGTGCTGGGCTGGACCGGCCCCGCCCCGCTGCACGGCGTGGCGGCGCGTGGCTGAAGTGGTGAGGCATAGTGAGGTAGGTGATGTCCTATTATGGGGTCGAGCTGGTCTAGGCTGGACGCCCCGTATGGCACCTCGAGCTCCCCCCGCGCCCGACGCGCCGACCCGCGTCTTCCTGTTCGGGGACGGCGCGGCTGCCAGCTTCTCCCGGGGGAGAACTAGCCGGAAGCATCCGGAAGTCGTCCGAGGCGCCCCTGGGGCCGAAACCATCCGACCACGCCCTTCCTCTGCGGGGTCGATGGCACGGCGACGTCGCTGTCGGCAAGTCTTCGACCATGGTTGCATGGTTCAACGCCTTACTGGGAGAAGGGGTAGCACTCTTTTTATTTTATTTTCCTTCTCGGTTCTCTCGGGCAGACGCCCTTCAGCCTTCAGCCGTCCCGTGGGGATCGATAATCCATGCAGGTACGGGGGCCTGGCCTCCGACGGGGCGGTCGAGCCCCCTCGGGGGCGGGGGGCGCGGCCCCGACACGCCAGGCACGGCCGAGCCGCCGCCGATGCCGCCCCCGGCACCGTCTCGTCGCGAGGAACCCCCCCGACCCGACCCAGTCCGCCAGCCCAATCTGCTCCGCCTCCTCCATAAAGAAGCCCAACACTTGTCACTTGTTGAACCGCGCGAGTAGTGTCTCCAGCGTCTGTTGCTCCGTCGGTTCCAGATGGGAGGCTTGAAGCAACGCCCCTGGACTCCCACCAAGCGGCGTGGACCCATCGCCGCCGAGCACCAGAGCCCCGGGCCGGCCTGCGTCAGCCTGCCGACCCTCATCGGTGAGTTGGACGCGGTGGAGGAGGTCCTCGTGCCGTGTGCAGCAGTGGAGCTCAACGACAGCTCCCCATGATGAACAATAAACAACGCCTCCCACGTCTCTGCCGCAGGAACCGTCGCCCCCGACTCGAAACGCGAGCGCGCCCCGGCCTTCAGCTTCGGCAGCCGGCACGGCGCGAAAAACGACAGCCCCGGACCCGGCCCCGGCCAGTACAACGTGACGGGGCTGAGCGCCAAGGGTGAGTGAGCTGACCGGCGCTCGTCCTTGCAGTTATGTGGCGTTTTCGAGGAATTTTTGAAGGTTTTTGTGGAAGACCAAAACTGCTGGGTTCCGTTTCAGCTTTAGTTAAATTAGCGCCCTCGGGGTGGCGTGACGCACACCGCGCACGCTGAACGTGTTAAAACGAGAACGGGCTGAGCAAAACCTTACAAAATAAATAAATGCAAGATTTGATTGTGTTCTCGCTCTACGTGTGTGGTAATGCACTGGCTTATTGGACTCGTTTCAAACGACACGTTCGACGTCTCTCAGGTAAGGACAGCCCACCCTCCGCAACCCTCCATTCTCGGCCCAAGGACTCGTCTCCGGATTCCACCCCAGCGCCCGGGGACTACAACCCTGACCTCCACGACACCTCCCCCAAGTATACTTTCGGACTGAAGGTGCAGCACGAGAAGACCTCCAGCACCCCAGGTAAGGCAGGCGTGTCCATCCAAGGACTGCTGCGCTGACTCTGATTGGAAGGATTCAACGTTATTACAATATTAATTGGAAATAATCCTATTGTCTTGTGTGAGGGTAATGCATTTATTTTGTGAAGTCTTTCTGGGGTTGACCGATGGTTGTACATATTCAAAAAGACGCTCCTGTTCTTCCGAGACATGCCCGTTTGTCCCTGGTGTGGGGATCCCTATGCCACGCAGCGCTTGCCTGAGCGTTTCGCTTGTCATGAGTGTCGCTTCCGACTAAGGTCAGAGCCTGTCACTCCGCACGGAGGTGGGTCGTGTTCGTGTGTATGTGTGTATGTATATGTGTGTGTGTGGTAGAGTTCATGTGTGACACGCACGCGTTTGGCACTGGGCACTTTGTCGCTTGTTCTTGTTGCACCATCCACGATACCGCAAGACGGCTTTAAATGGTATTGGGTAGTGGGTGTCGTTCGCACATAGAGAGCGCGCGCGACTTGAAATGATATAGTGTAGGTGTAGGCGCGCCGAGTGTACACACTGTCGCCAGCAGCATATCCGCAAAACGAATAGTTTCTCGTCTGCCGCCGCCGAGCTAAGGCGCTGATAGGCAACCTCTCCGCACGCGTGATGTCTGGTTGCCTACCCCCGCCTCCGCAGGCGCCCAGCCCACGCGGCCGCACGCCCCGCGCTATGACTCTGTCACTGCTCTGTCCTCAGCGCCAAACACTTACCTGGCGGAGAAGCTCGTCTCCACCCAGGAGTTCTCGTTTGGCACGAGAACCCAGCTGGAGAAACCCAGCGCCACACCCGGTAAGACCTCCCCGCGCCCGCACTGCCCGCGCGAGCCTCTCTCCCCTGGCAGGTCAGGGCGGCGACGACGACGACGGTCCCGGTTCGCGACCGGCGCGACCCTCCCACACGTCGGAGTGGGAGAGAGAAAGCCGTCGCCTTTTTGCCGTCGCCGTCGCCGTCTGTTTTTTTTACAGTGTGTGCTTTTGTGACGCGCCGGAGGAGGATTAAGGAAAATGTGCGTCGATCGCATGAGTCGGCTTCCTTCAGACCGAGCTGTCCTCCTGGCCCGGCCTGGCCCGGCGCGCGGCGGGCCCGCGAAGCGCCCACGCGCACAGCGGCGGTCAGTCCCACGCACCCCCCCTCTCCCCCCCTCTTCCGCACCTCTCGGCCTTCCAGGCGACCCGCCCGCTCGCGACGCGATCGCTGTAAAATTTGCGCGCCAAAGCCGCTCGCCAAGTGAAGCAGGCCAGCCAGCCAGCCGCCTTTATGCCGCCCCCCTCCTCTGCCATGTCACCCACCCGGTTTGCTATGCTGCTGCTGCTGCTTTCCACAGGAAAAAAACAAACAATCCGCGAGCGCGAACCCTGGCTGGAGAGAACGTCGGAAAGGCCATGAAATGGCATCAAGATAGCATATAAATTCAACTTGTGGTGTAAAATTGGATGTGTGTAGTAATAAAGCGTACTTTCAGCTCCTGGTGCATATGACCCGGAGAAGCCTTACCACCTCCCTGCGTACTCCTTCGGGCTCAAGACACCCTTGGAAAAGCCCTCCGACACTCCAGGTATGCATATTGGAGCTGCACGACAAACGCCGCTGGCCCCGGCCGAGCCCGAACTCGGACAATCGCGGCGCTAATTCTCTACTGTCTTGACAGCGCCCGGCGCCTACAACCCGCACCTCCCCGAACACCAGCCGGCGTACTCGTTCGGCCTCAAGGCCCATGCGGAGCGGCCGTCGGACACGCCGGCGCCCAACGCCTACGCGCCCGACAAGCCCGCGCACGCCCCCGCGCACTCGTTCGGGCAGAGGACCAACGGCGAGCGGCCCAGCGACACTCCGGGTGAGTAGCGGGTCCGGACCGCACGCCACGCACGTCATTGCACTTTCTCTCCCTCTCTCTGTCTCACGCCTCGCCTCTCGCTCTCGCACGGCCCGTGCCCCCCGCAGCGCCTGGCGCGTACAGCCCCCACCTTCCCGAGCACCTGCCCGCCTACTCGTTCGGCCTCAAGACCCCCCTGGAGAGGCCCTCGGACACTCCCGCCCCCAACGCGTACAGGCCCGACAAGCTCACCAATGCTCCTAACTACTCCTTCGGCCTGAAGACGCCGATCGAGAAACCCAGTGATACGCCAGGTAGCTCAGTCTCACTCGGACAACTTGGGTACCCTCTTTTATTAGTCAAATTATAACACTTGCTCTCGGAAGACTGATTCTACCTATCCAGTTTCTAAGTTCACTGTACCGCACGCATGCCTCCGAGTGGATTTGCCTATCGTCTCTGAAGTAATGGGGGGAGTAGGCAACCCACCAGCACACGTGCGTGCGGTACAGTCTAACTACGGAAAACGGCAGAACGAATTAAACACTTTAAACATTGCTCGTCTAGCTCCGGGAGCGTACGACCCACGATTGAACGGCCACCTGCCCGCTTACTCGTTCGGCCTCAAGACCCCCCTGGAGAAGCCATCGGACACCCCTGCTCCAAACGCGTACAAGCCCGACAAGCTTACCAGTGCCCCGAACTACTCCTTCGGTCTGAAAACACCGATCGAGAAACCCAGTGATACGCCAGGTATCCTAATCCTTCTGATTGGCCATGAAAATGTATAAACGTTTTAAAATGATTCGTCGTGTATTGTTCAACGCGTACATCTTGTATAGCTCCTGGGGCGTACGACCCTAGACTGAACGGCCACCTCCCGGCCTACTCGTTCGGTCTCAAGACCCCTCTGGAGAAACCATCGGACACCCCCGCCCCCAACGCGTATGCGCCCGACAAGCTCACCAATGCCCCGAACTACTCCTTCGGTCTCAAGACACCGATCGAGAAACCCAGTGACACGCCAGGTACTCAAATTCTTCGGAAAAATATCAACATTTTATAAATCCATGGGAAAGCAGAAAAAAGAAACTCCTTGATATTTCCATATTTGAGAAAGCATTCCTTGCATGTATAGCTCCTGGGGCTTACGACCCCCGACTGAACGGCCACCTCCCGGCCTACTCGTTCGGCCTCAAGACCCCTCTGGAGAAACCCCTGGACACTCCCGCCCCCAACGCCTACAACCCGGACAAGCTCACCAGCGCGCCAAACTACTCGTTCGGTCACAAAACCCCGAACGAGAGGCCGAGCGACACGCCAGGTACTTATTGTGCACCAACCCTCGCTTCTTGTCACTTGCCTCTTTGCACCTGTCACTTCTTTTCTCCCTCTGTGTGCACCCCAGCCCCCGGCACCTACGACCCCCACCTGCTCGAGCACCTGCCCGCCTACTCCTTCGGCCTGAAGACCCCGATTGCTAAGCCCTCCGACACCCCGGCGCCCAACGCCTACAAGCCCGACAAGCCTGTGCACGCTCCCAACTACTCCTTCGGCCTCAAGACGCCCATCGAGAAGCCAAGTGACACTCCAGGTACTGGGCGGCACGCGGCGGCCTGGGCAAGCGCCTGCCCCGCACCGTGCTCACCTGCAAACATTTTGCCCGGACTTGCGTTCGCCCCTCTACTCTATTTCTGCAAGTGAACGGGTCGCTGACCCCCTGTCTTTCTCTGTCACACTCCAGCGCCCTGCGCGTACGATCCACACCTCCCGGAGCACCTGCCCGCCTACTCGTTCGGGCACAAGACTCCGCTGGAGAAGCCGAGCGACACGCCAGGTAGGTACTGAGGAGGCTCTTGCTCCAGCGCCTCGGCGCGGTGACAGACCCATCAATAACGAAGACCGACCCTCCCTTCCAGCTCCTGGCGCCTACGACCCGCGGCTTAACGGGCACTTGCCCGCCTACTCGTTCGGCCACAAGACCCCACTGGAGAAGCCGTCGGACACGCCAGCGCCCAACGCCTACAACCCAGACAAGCTTACCAGCGCGCCCAACTACTCGTTCGGCCTCAAGACCCCCAACGAAAAGCCGAGTGACACCCCAGGTAGGGCTAAAGCTAACAATGTACAGAGTACTCCAGAGAACGCGTGTTGCAGACGACAGGCGACGTTACCCACACCCTCTCTGTTCCCCTCCAGCACCATGCGCCTACCACCCTCATCTGCCGGAGCACCTACCCGCTTACAGCTTCGGCGTGAAAGGGCCTTTAGAGAAGCCCCTCGACACACCAGCTCCCAACGCCTACAACCCGGACAAACCGACACACACACCAAACTACTCGTTCGGACTGAAAACACCCTTAGAGAAGCCGAGTGACACCCCTGGTAAGACTTTGCAGGCCAAGTATACATTTAAGGCCCACAACATCATTTCCGCCTTCACAGCTTTATTTGATCTCCTCCAGCACCTGGAGCGTACGACCCTCACTTGCCGGAGCACCTCCCGGCCTACAGCTTCGGCGTGAAGGCGCCCTTGGAGAAACCCCTGGACACTCCGGCGCCCAACGCCTACAACCCGGACAAACCGACACA